AAGCGAGCCGCCAAAGCGGGACAGCGGAGGGAGGGAGGAGGGGTTGGTTATCTAGTCCAGCCCCGGCTGCTCACGGAGCGTCAGTCATTTCGGTGAAGGCGAACAGCTGCTTCGTGTTTTAATTTAGAAAGAAACGTGCAGCTATTTTTGTGTGACAAGGTCAGAAGCAAACCCGGCACCCTTTTGTAAACGGCCGCCAACGCACCTGAGTTCTTAAGATGTCGTGACATACTCTAAAACATACCATCACGTAGCAAGGGAAGCGGTCCCGACAGCACCGAGGAGGTGCATTAAAACAATACAGGCCGTGCCTCCGTGGAGCGTTACCGGGGGGATTTCGGGCACCGCGGGTGCGCCTCGGAGGGGCTGGGAAGGGCTTGTCCCTGCCAGGCCCCAGGGTCCGGGGCGCTCAGGAGAGCAGGGGCTGCAAGGCGGGGGGACTAAAGGCAGGGCGCTCCCCATCCCTGCCGGGAGGGGTGCCCGCACCCTGCCCCGGGCAATCCCCTTTAGTCCCTGTAAAACCGGTGCCTGCGTTTCCCCGCTCCCAAGCGGGGTCTCCGGGGATGGGCAGCGCTGGCCCCCCCGGCCCCCCCCACCTTGCGCTCCGGGGTTTCGCCTTTCCCCCGGCCAGGCGATGCGACGTTAAAATATCTATTTCGCCTCTCATCGGGAGCCTTTACGGCCCTTTAATGCGCTGCCACCCTCGTCCCGGCACCCGAATATTTACAATTTACAGGGACACCGGTCCCAGGAGCAGCGGGGGACAGCAGCCTACCGAGGATAATTTTTTTCATAAAAAGCCGAAAGAACAGCAGCTGTTTGGAGCGCATGGCGTTACGCAGATTCACTAGCAATTCGCATTTCTAGTTCGGGAAAAGGAGTCCGGTGGAAACGGTCCAGGGTTTGGCGAAGCCAGGTATTACGAGGTGAGTTCTGATTTCTCTGCCGGGGCACACCTGCAGAGAGGGGCTTTTCTTGCTGGGAAATAGCTCTTTAAAAATAAAAGCAGATACTGAAGCAACATACTGATTTTTGTAGCTATTCTGTTGAAATCCCTTTTCTGCTGGCTGCACATATTAAACATTACATTCTGGCCATTTCCTCTCTCTCCTGTTTCATGATAAAGAGTCATTCCTGCCCGCCAAAATGGAGCCAGACGTGTGCCAGTCGTGATACAGGATTAATCTACGGATAATAGTTTCAGGGGACTATATAAAAGAAAAAATATAATCTTGTGTATGAGGCTCTTTCACTGCAACAGACTGTATTTCTGTGGTGACTTTAATGCTTGGTCTTTCCCCGATGACCTCGGTATTTAACTAGCCTCTATTTCCTCCTCTAGCTCCCTATTTAATTTCCAATTTTTTTGAGGTTTCTAGGTAGCTTCTAAGCCTCCAAATAAATACATGATCCTGAGCAGCTGCCCCTGCATCCAGCCTGTGGAGGAGGGTACCACAGGGAGCAGCTGGCAGAGAGACACAGGCGAGCCTGACCCACAGCCCCCCGAGCCCCACGGCGCAGAACCGTGCTCTGCTGGCACCCGCCAGCTGCACAGCACAACAAAAAAGCCTTCGGCTTCAGTGACAATCCCCACTTCCAGCCTGCAGAGCTGTGTTTATCTTGCTCTCCGTGGCAAAAAAGGGAAAGGTCTAAGATTTCCTACCACCAAGCAAGCCCCAAAACATTGACAGAGCAGAAAGGTCTCACCTGAGGGAGCCAGTGCCACATTAGCTGACCCAAAATGCTGTGACCAGGGCCAATTTATGGTCACAGATTGGATCACCTGGAGCCAGCCCTGCAACCTGCCCTTACCCCTAGCTGTGGGGACTGCCTTTGTCTCTCTGAAGGCTGAATCCCCCTTGCTACCCCCCAACTACCAGACAGCAATAACTCTTACCGGCCTCCTCGCAGGGAGCATGCAGCACGGTGACAGCGGGGCTGCGGCGCTGGGACCGCTGCTGGCGCATCCCCAGGAGCCGGGTCTTCTAGTCAAGCGGGTCCGGGACGTGTCTGCCACCGGCAGCGGGCTTCACAGGCAGCCCCTGGGCAATAGCATTTGCAGCGTGCAAGGAAATCGGGCTCCGAGGGGTATTTTGGGTCTCTGGCAATGCAGTTTGACTGCACTCGAGTGGGGTGGGGGTTAAACAGGCCCCCAGTTGGAAATAGTCAAGCTAATGACCAACCCCCAAATTACTGGAAGTGAAAGAAGAGGGGGCTGCCTGTGAGGCCAGGGTGTCATGACCCTCCCCATCACAGCTGTGCTGAATTTTTCTGAAGAGATTCAGAGAGGGAGAATCTGCCACTTCCCTCGATGAAATTTCACTGAAGTGGAATCCATCACCCCGGCAGAGAATGACATTTTAAACTGCTTTAACTCAGTATCAATGTTCAAATTGATTAGCCTATTTCATCTCAATGGAAATTCTCACCTCATTACATTAGCGGCCGAACTTCAAATAATTTTTGAATCAAATACTACTTAAACAGTATTTCAAAATACTTAGCTGACAAAATTAATCACTTAATTTCAAATTACTGTCTGCATTTTATGCTAAATTGTCAATGGATGAAATATGTAGCAGTTCTGGGAGCTGAGCCTGCAAGCTGAGGCTACCCAGCTCCACTGTTTCACAGAAGCACATTTTCTCTCTGACTTGATAAATGTCTCGCTCCTGGCTGAGCAGCGAGCACAGACTCAAAAGGAGGCTGTGGACAGTATTTCCTAGCCTTCCAAAACCAGCGTATCCCCTGATGCATAGGATACTCGCCAGGGAATTAAGACAGGCAGGTTTGATTTTCCTCAGAGAGGGACATGAGCTGAACCCAAGCCCTCTATTTCCAGTTATTTCTTTAACAGGTAGGGCAGTGGTTTCCAGCCAGGCTGTAAGTGAGCCTAAGAAAACTAGTAACATTCGATGCGTCACCATCTGGTTCCCTCCATATCTGGTGTCAATTTTGCTTCTCCTTACTGGCTAGAAACCACTGCAGTAGGCAACAGTATAAAATGCCAGCTCGCAGCACTGTCTCCACCAGCTCTGTTTTAGAAGACATTTTTAATTAAAAAAAAATAAAAATCTATATATTAAAAAATCACTGCCCTTTTTGAGATGCCAGCTCCTGTCCAGCATGCTCTGAGACTGCTGCTGCTCCCGGCTCCCTCCCTCCAGTAGGCAAGAAGAGGACCAGCCAAGCTTAGAGAGCAGGGAGAGCTGTTCCCAGTAGCACAGGCACACGCAACTTGTCTTTATAATGCTATAGATCATAAGGAGCTGGAGATGCCTCTGCAGGTTAAGTGGCATCAGAATGGGAGTTCTGAATAGGCATCACGAGTTTGTTTAAATCCTGCCTTAAACGCCTAAAGACTTCACTGACCTCTGTCTCAGTTGCATTCTCAAGGTAGTGCTGCTACACTGTACTCAGGTTGCTGCATCTCAAGGTAGTGCTGCTACACTGTACTCGGGCAGTTCTGTAGTGCTGCGAGGACCAATGCTGCACAATTCTTCTATCACTTAAAAGAAATAAGACTCCTTTGAATAAATAAGCTGTGATAGAAATATATTTACACTATGCACATTTTTACAGGAAATACAACTTACTAAAAATTTGTAAGTAATAATACCCCCCCCCCTACAATTCACTACAGTCAAAACTAAAGGTTTTGAATTTTTAAGGTTTTTATTAGAGAAGTTGAAAGTTTCATCTCAGGACTGACAATAACATAATTATCTCTTTTCATTTATTTTGTTTATAGGAATATGTAGAATTTGTTTGTACAAGCATATACAACAAAGTAATTGGTGCTTAGTACATTGAAATCAGGAATCTGATTTGTTCTGAACTACCAGTTTTCCATGCAGTCATCTTTGAATTGGCAGCATGGACAAATTCCAAGCGGAATGCTTACATGCATTGTTTTGCAATATAACTACAGCAAGCGCTGGAAACATGCAAATTAACACATTAGCAAATTGGGTTTATATCTAATGGACATAAAAAGGTTATTCCTGATATGAAATTCTGAAAATCTGCATAAATACTTCTGTGTAAAATTAAATTAGTTATGTACTTTTCTTTTACTACAAGTATCAAGAATGCCCACGTAATTAATATACACACATATATATAGAGACCTTGTTATGCTAAAAGTCTTTGTAATTAATCAAACAATACTCTGTGCCATACATTTATTCAGTATTTACCAGCTAGTAGAATGACTGTGGTCATATAGTAGGCATTACAGTCTTAGTAGCATTTGTATCACATGCAAACATACTCTTAGCATTTCTGTTTACTAGTTTTATCACGTGGCAACATGTATGTGATTTTCTACAATGTTGTGATTCTGAAGTGTATAAATACTTTTTACATTTTCACAGTTACAAACTTTTTGCCAAAAGCCGTTTAAACAATCTTTAAGTTACAATGAACTGTAATATCTGGGATCTGCCGCAGCAGGATCAAAATGCAATTTCTATACAAGCAATGTAGGATGTAAACTTTTCTTAAAGTGCCTAATATGTAATTCCTTAGAGCACTGATCAGTTTTGGCACAAATACACTGTATTTCCCTCACGCTAACCATTGCAGTAACTTTTACAGGATATCGGCTTCTTTCAGACATGATAGAGTTGATATGGCACTTGTCAATGACATCATTAGACTGCAGAAATATCCTGTCAAGTTACTGTTACAGTTGATGAATTTGGCCGATGACTTTGTACATATTGTACTTTTGAATATACGCAGTTAACTTTCAACTGCCTACTGTCTGCTGCCTGAAAAATACTTTGAAATCTAATTTAAAATTGCCCAAACTCAACCCCTTACTATACTGATTATTACGGTGACTTAGCAGAAGATCCAGTTCAGTGGGCTCGATGACATCAGGTGCTGAGCATCTGACGAGCTGTTGCTTCTCGGGATCTGGCAGCATTGGGTTTCTACACAATATATCACACATGAGAATAAAAATGGTAAATAACATGACTTGACTACAGTTTTGTTGCCATCCGAGATGATGTTAAAAATATCTGTTGTGTTTCAAGGCTCTGATTGTGTAATTCTCTTGCAGGCAAGCTGCCTGTTGAGATACAGAAAGGAATACAGGACTGGGTTTAAAAACTGTCTTCATCTTCCAATTAGTGTTTTTCTAAACAAAGGAAATTCTTATCATGGAAATCCAACAAAGGAAATTCAGTGCCCAGTGTTAAAAAAGAAATAATGCAAACCTTAAGACTTGGCGGTCCATAGCTACACTTTATATATTAAAAAAAAAAAAAACAAAAAAACCAAAAAAACCCCCACCACCACCCCCCCAAAAAAAGGAGAAAAAAAAAAAAAGCCCACTTTTCAACCTCAGCAACGTTATTTTGAATTTTGCTCTCTTTTTAAGGATGCTGTGTTCTCCAACTTCAATTCGCTTGTTGAGGCTTTAGACCACTGTTGCTGGCCTGCGATCCATCTCTGCTTCCAGCTTCACCATCTGCTGCATCTCCTTTGCCTGCAATCCAAAATAACCGCACGAAGCATTGCATTAGACCTTTTGTTCAAAATTAAGCACGTTTTATATGATAGTGTCTGAGTGAAATACAGGCAAAACACACTAAAGATATATGTAATAACATCATGCTTACTCCCCCCCAGCGTCATTCTGTTTTCAAAATCAGACGTAATTCTTACAACTGCAAATTCTTGGAAAATATTTTTGATCCTATTCCAAGACTCATGGATTGATTTTCTGAAGAATTGTATGGTAAAATGCAAAGCTCCAATTTTGGGGAGGAAAACTAGGCAGATGCTGATTCGACTGTTTCTCCTGATAGGAAATGTCTTTGGGAACGTATGCTTCGCTGCTGTGGTGGGAGTGCTGCCGTCTGTTACTTCCTGAAACGTTCAGAGAGTTCATCTATGATCTGGACTCGTTTCTTTCATAAAGACAATGAATGACAAAAACCCATCAGTGTAACATCTTCCTTGCAGTGGGCAACATTTTAAAAAAAAATTTTTAAAAAATAATCTCCATCTGGCCTGGAGATCCTTATGATTACAGACATGGTGTTTTTCACCTCAGGATCAGACTACTGCTATATGCTCTATGGGGTTACATATGCTGAATCCACCTGAAACTGTATCCAAATGCATTGTGCAGAATACAGCAATGAACCTATGCCAGATCTCGCTATAAACTCTGCATGCCTCGGGCTTTGCAAGCAGAGTTAAAGCACTGTATATAAATGGTACCTGGCGTGGGAATCCCCTGCTTAGAGAGCGCTTTTTTAATTCCCTTCCTCTCCCTCTCCCCCCGCCTCTCTCTGACATGCACACACACACACGTACACACACTTACTCCTTCTGTGGCTCAGTTACAGATTCAAAGTTGTGCTTTGGTTTGAAATTCTGCAGTTTAAAGGAACTGGGAGTCACCAGCTCTTCATTTTCTCTGAGGGCTCTCAATCTGGGAAGTGATTTAAATCCATATCCCAAAGGACTCTGAATAAGTTGCCCCAGAGGGCAAGCTAACCTATCTATCTTTACAACCAAGATCCCAAGGATTAGGACAGGTTTAGCAAGAGGCAAACCAAGCCGGTATTTTCTTTGGTGTAACTGCTTTGTGTCTGTCACGCAGGGAAGAACCGTTACTGGACTTGATTTACGTGAACTATGTTCCTCAAAAAGTTGTAAATGTTGCTTAGACAGGGAACTTTGCTACACAAGCTCCTACTTAAGGAGTCACCTATTCTGGATGTGCAAACACATATTTGCATATGCGAAAATGGGCAGATGTAGATCTAAAGTAATGAGATGCACAGCTATTCATTTTGCAAGGTAAATGTGGGTTTGTGCAGATGTGATATACGTGCCTTCTTGAAAAATCTAGCCCTGTACTTTCATAATCATCATCATCATCTTGGGGAAAAAAGTAATTATGATAATAGCAAAGCAACTGTCATAAATATGATTAAAAATTAATCAACGCTCTCCATTTAAATGAGTTAAAAGCTTGAAAGTAATGAAGAAATAATTTTAACATGAAAATATGGAAACATAATAAATAAATCAATATGTACAACCTCTTCTGAAATGTTGGCTGGATTTTGCCTCTGTGTGAAATGAAATCCCAGATAAAACAAAACCCTTGTTTATTTGTTAGTGAGTCACACATTTCATGTTTTAAGCTTGTGACTTAACTATTGGCACATAGTGTCCTGTAAATATTCTGCATGCCAAGATATGGCATACGGAATTATTTTAGAGATAACTTGGTTTCAAAGAACACATTAGCATAGGACCAGGGATGCCTGGTTTTGCTAGTCTGAGGCTGGTTCAGACAGTGCGTTCTGACGTGAACGCACAAGCACGATCCTTGAGGACGAGCCTTCTGGAAGGCAGTCTTGAGGCTACAGTGCATCCATGGAGTGAGTGGCAGCTAATAGACTCTGCTTTCAAGATGCTTGCTCTCTGGTGAGATCTGAGACAGGCTAAGAACCATATAAAGTAAAAGAATTTTTTTTTTTTTCCCCTAGCTTAATGAATGCTTTTTTTCCTCATTAGATGTCTATAAATAAATGCTAAAGTGGGTGCTGTCAGACTCAGTGGTGCAAGATACAAGTATGTTATCAATTCAAGAAAATAATTCAGATCAGGCAATACTGTACAACTGGATGTTCAAGCCTTTCCCTTGGTAAGACAAGGGTTAACAGAGATTTCTTTTGAGTAACGATTATTTAGGAAGCCACAGCAGCACAGCCACATGGTAAATATAATTGCCATACCTTGTAATGTGTTGGATTTTGAAGTGAATTTTAAAGCGCTGGAAGCCTCTCTTCTTTAGACACTAAAAAGCTATTTCTAGCCATCTGTTCTATATTTTGCTATTCTTAACGTGGAATTACTTATTTTATTACCATATTGATATATGTGGATACTCTTTGTCTATCAGCATTAGCAGTTAATCATATGTATGTTAACACTAAAATAGTTTTCGTAGATCAATAGACACTTCTCACAGACACAGTTTAGAACTCTAAGCGTATCTTTCAGTAACAACAGGTAACGTAACATACAAGTTAATCTCTAAATATTTCCTCTGCACATCACTGCTCATATGCATCTGACTTTGGGATGCTAAAGCACAAAATACTGTTAATATTGTGTCAGGCTTAAATATCCGTGTGCAAACAGGATTAACATTGTGTTCACTATGTCAACGGTACTTCCCAATGGTTGCATTTACAAGGAGGGCTCCAATGATGATGAGTTAATTTAGAAGGAAAGCACACTGAAATAATAGTTTGCTTATTATACGTCCATCCTACCTTGTGTTTGAGACACTGCATGACAGGATTTCAAAAGCTGTTTGTACAAAAATAATAATGTCAAAATTGAGTAATACAACAAGAAGCAAATTAAATGAATGAAAACTGAAGTGAGATTGAAAAATTAATGCAAGAAAAACATACATAAACCAAAACAAATTTAAATTCATAACAGTTTGTATTGAAGGCTCTTTCCACCCATAATTCTACTTTTCTACATTGTATATTTGTAGGAAAAATTTCTTCTCTTGTTTGATCAGGAAAAAAAAAAAAATCACGCTTTGAACTTCTCATTAAACAAATACCACCTTTATCTTGATCCAACTAGCTTTCATACATCAATGAGTGTAACAACAAAACCAGACCCAGCTGAGGTTTCGCACTGGTGCACTTTTGGGGCTAAAAGGAAGTCATCAAAACAGCAGGTATAAAAATATATGCTCCGATGGATCAAATTAGAGTGAGTTAAAAAGCTGTTAAGGACCACCCCAGTGGTGGAGGCCACCGCATGCCCACACAAAAGTGATAACCAGCAGGTGAATGATCTTACTCCATTTAATCATTTACGATTTAAGCTGGCTTCATCTTTGCACTGAAATGGAGTATGAGCAAGCTCATGTAGGCTGTTACCATCTCTGAGCGGTGGAAGCTGTAACCCCAGGTGAGGAAAGCATCTAATTGCTGAAAGAGGTGACTCCTTTAATGACTCACACTTATTTCCCAGCAACCTCCCTCCCTTATATATAAGGTGTTTATCGCGTTGTGGTTAAAAGCACAACTATAATCATTCCCTCCTGTCCTTATGTTTTTAAAAAATGGATCCAAAGCCCTCTGAAGCCAATGGAAAGAAACCACTGATAACACTTATCTCTGGATCAAGCCCATCAGTTTTTGCCAGCTAGCACAGTTCACAGGGAGTTCTCTGTCACGCTCTCTACAGTGACGCTACAGATCCGCTGTAGCCCAACTGCCGCCCCCAAGTCCCTGCCTCCTCTGCCTTTTGATTATGTGCCGATATTGCTCAGGAGCAGACTGACTGACAGATCCATTCGTGCTGGATGTTAGAGACAGCATCTACAGAAACCCTGTGAGGGAACAGACTAGGAAGCTTTGGCTGTTGTCCAGAAGGGAGGTGGAGCGATCAGAAGACAGAGCCATGGTGGCTGGGGCTCAGTGGTAGCAGCTGCCTGCAGTCCTACATGCTGTCCCCCCCCCTAGAAGTTAACCAGGCTGCAGCCTTTGGGGCTCTAGGACTCTCTCCTGACAGTGGAAATCCTTGATTTGCATGTACTCTTCTCTTCCCTCCCACTCTGCAAGATGGTTTTAATTCATACTATAATGTCTGCCAGAGAGTTCAAGTTCTGAACATTTAATAAACAACGAAGTAAGTACATAACCCTTGAAAGTAATGGGTATTAAATACACCTCTTCTCTCTCATCTCATTGAACTGCTGGGTATATTCCCCTTGTAGTTTACATTTTTGTAAGTGCAGTACTGCAAGTCCATACAATTATTACAGCTCTGCTGGCTCAACCTTTCAGCAAGGGAACCCCTCGGAATGTAGCATTGCTTCTACCAAAAATAAGATTAGAATTTTCCTTTCCTTGCCAAGTGGTT